AGTAGAAGACATCAAGAAGAGAGGGCAAGAATACACAGAGGAATTATACCAGAAAGACCTGGATGTCCCGGACAACCCAGATAGTGTGGTTGCTGACCTTGAGTCGGCCATCCTGGAGAGTGACGTTTACTGGGCCTTAGAAAGCATGACTAACAGTGGAGTGATGGCATTCCAGTTGAACTATTTAAAATCTTAAAAGATGACGCTGTTAAGGTGCTACACTTAATATGCCAGCAAGTTTGAAAGACTCAGCAGTGGCCAGAGGATTGGAAAGGATCAGTCTACATCCCAATCCCAAAGAAGGGCAGTGCCAAAGAATGCTCCAGCTACCGTACAATTGCACTCATTTCACACGCTAGCAAGGTTATGCTCAAAATCCTCCAAGGTAGGCTTCAGCAGTAGGTGGACTGAGAACTCCCAGAAGTACAAGCTGGATTTCGAAGGGGTAGAGGAACTACAGACCAAATTGCTAACATGCGCTGGATCATGGAGACAGCCAAAGAGTTCCAGAAAAACATCTATTTCTGCTTCATTGACTTCGTAAAAGCCTTTGACTGTGTGGATCACAGCAAACTAGGGCAAGTCCTTAAAGAAATGGGAGTGCCTGATCACCTTATTTGTCTCCTGAGAAATCTTTATGTGGGACAGGAAGCAACAGTTAGAACTGGATATGGAACAACTGATTGGTTCAAAATTCGGAAAGGAGTATGACAAGGCTGTATATTGTCCCCCTGCTTATTTAACTTATATGCAGAAGAGTTGTGAAAGGCAGGACTGGATGAATCCCAAGCCGGAATTAATATTGCCGGAAGAAATATCAACAACCTCCGATATGCAGATGATACCACTCTGATGGCAGAAAGTGAGGAGGAATTAAAGAACCTCTTAATGAGGTTGAAAGAGGAGAGTGCAGAAAACAGTCTGAAACTCAACATCAAAAAAACTAAGATCATGGCCACTGTTCCCATTACCTCATGAGAAATATAAGGGGAAGATATGGAGGCAGTGACAGATTTTACTTTCTTGGTCTCCATTATCACTGCAGATAGTGACAGCAGCCCTGAAATTAAGACACCTGCTTCTTGGGAGGAAAGCGATGACAAACCTAGACAGCATCTGAAAAAGCAGAGACATCACCTTGCCGACAAAGGTCCACATAGTCAAAGCTATGGTTTTTCCAGTAGCGATGTATGGAAGTGAGAGCTGGACCAAAAAGAAGGCTGGCCGCCAAAGAATAGATGCTTTTGAATTGTGGTAGTGGAGGAGACTCTTGAGAGTTCCCTGGACTGCAAGGAGAACAAACCTATCCATTCTAAAGGAAATCAACTCGAGTACTCACTGGAAGGACAGATCCTGAAGCTGAGGCTCCAATACTTTGGCCATCTCATGAGAAGACTCCTTGGAAAAGACCTTGATGTTAGGAAAGTGTGAAGGCAAGAGGAGAATTAGACGACAGAAGACGAGATAGTTGGACTGTGTCATCGAAGCTACCAGCATGAATTTGACTAAATCATCGAAGCTACCAACATGAATTTGACTAAATCCCAGGGGGCAGTGGAAGACAGGAGGGCCTGTCGTGTTCTGGTCCATGGGGGTCACAAAGAGTCAGACACGACATAACGACTAAACAACCGCAACAAAGTCCCATTGGAAGTATTCTGCTTTATGCATGAATTAATATAAAATTTAAAATTGTAGCTATAATTTCGACACATTGGGTAATATCCTATTGTGGAGCAAAATAATAATCAGGTATGTGTTCTTCCCTGCGCTCCCCATTGAGTGACCAGTTGTATGACTAATTTTACAATGGGTGCAGAAACAGACGTGCAGTAGGGCAGTCTGCCAGAATGGGTAGATGCTTATGTGATTACCCTTCCACTTAGTGTTTCTGGAACAGCATACAGGCTATTATTGTTGACCCATTTCCTTAAATTCTTGCCACTTTTATTACAGTCATACTGCCAGAGGAGATGTTACTTGTTCATGCTTTGGTCAAATTAGCTTACAAATAAATATTCTTCACCAGATTTTTGAAATGACCTAAAGAGATCCATTTACTCACATATTCTTTTGAAAGGAAGAATGGCAACATTTTCTCCCCTTGAATTCTTTCATGTGTCACTCTTGAATGTCAGTTGTTTTTAGCTTTTATGTAATAATTGATACACTTTTATCAAGTTAGCCCACAAATGGAGTTCCAAAAGGGGAGTGATGTCAGAATCAAAGTAGATGGTCTTTTGATGCATGGCACACAGAGGAGGAAACCTCTTAGGATTGGTAAATGTTAGTTAAAGAAGATAAAGCAGAGAATAGAAATAAAAAGTTCTCACAATGGAGGAATACAGTATAAGAAATATGCTTAAATACTTTTAAACTTGTTTAGAAATGATCTGGAGTTGGGAGTGGACAACGAGGTGACCAACTTTGCAGAGAACACTAAATTATTTAGGCTTTTTGAGACTATCAGTAGCTTCAAAAAGCTCTCTCTAAAGTGAGAGGAATGCAGTTTATTCTAGGCTAGCATCAAGTGATGTAATTTGCAGCAGAAAAACCCAAATAAATGTAGGTTGCAACATATGGGGCATCTTAATGCAGTAAAGAAAGGTGAATAAGGGAAAAACATGACGGAGGTGTGTATCGTGTGAACAAAGTGAATAGGAAGAACTTTTTATCTCACCCATAACATTAGTAGCAGGAATCTCTGGGTGAAGTTTAATAGCAGGAGATTCTGGAGACGATCACACAATCCATAGTTAAACTTTTACAAGATCCGGTGATGGAAGGCTGCCATCTTGGATATCTTTGAAAAGGGATGAGACAACTATATAGGGAATGTGCCTATCAAGGGTTGATAGTCATGATGACCCCATGTTTACTACTAATGTAATTGCTGGGGAGTATATTAGGAAAGGAGTTGTTGCACTCATGTCCAGACTAGGAGTTTCTCATAAGAATGTAGCAACCACTGTGCATGCTGCATGTTGCACTGGATAGGCCTTTGGTATAATCTGGTGCAGCTCTTCTTATGTTCCATAGTATCACATTTTCCCATATTTATGTGGGGATGGTAGGCACAAAGCTTACTTAGAATGCAGCATGCTGTGTTGAGAGGCGATGCTTATCTTTTCCCACTTTGATCAGAGCAACTCTGCCCTTGCATGCAGGTGAGACACTTAGATAAAAAAACAGAGTCTTTACTGGTGCCAGTTGGGACTTTTAAAATCTAAACGTTCTAGCTGTTTGAGGCGGGTGATTTGCTCTAATCATACTGAGGAGGAAAAGATATAAGCCTTCTTGCAGTCTGTGGTTTTGAAACGCACACAAACACATAGCAGGATGCCATGTATCAAATGAACGTCTAGTTTGGCCCTAAGTCTTCTGCAGCGAAAATAAGAGACAGTTTTGTGCCACTATAAAAAAATAAAACAAATCATGTTGAGTAAATTGCAGCACTGCTTGCAAAGCAGATGGCACTGAAGCCATTGAGCCAAATAAAATCCTTCTACAGGCTCACTGGCTGTTCTCTGGAAGGAGATTTTTTCCCCCCTACTCCAAATAAAGTACAGCAGTCATATGTGATGGTTCTGAATGCAAACACAGGAGCAAAAGTGATTTTGCCCCTGAGGCTTCCTTGCCCTGGACATGAACTGTCAGCAGCACCATGACAGCATACGCCCGATACTTTTGTGAGCCATTTACCTCGTCTTTGAGAATCACTTTATCCTTTAGTCAAACATCACATAATCATGATTATGGGAGGGTGGTCTCCCTCAGGGGTCTCTACTGTTGAATTTCTAGCTGGCTCTACTTTCCATTGTCCATGAGTTGGCAGATCTCAAGAAGAAAGGGAGTCTGTTCTCTGAGTATAGGATACATCTGTGGTGCAGAATCCTGATCGTTCAGAGTTCTAAATCACAGTGTATTCCAGTTATGTAGAGCAGGCCTCCCTCTATAATTGCATTCCCAAATTGTTTATGATAGGGAGCCCTTTCCCTGCAGATGCAATTGTTTTCAAAATGGCTGCTCCTTAAGATCAGTTAAATTGCCAATAATAGCTAAATTTGCATACACTGCAGTCAAGAGATAACCAACTGGCATAGCATCCTCATGGTTGTCCTACGGAAGAGAGGCCACATGCAGCCTGCACATACATTGGTTGACCAAACCTTCCTGTTCTGGTAGCTAATTACCTGAAATGTAGAAACAGACATTCTCAAGTCTCTGGCAGGCCACAATATGTGAGTGGTGGATTGTGGATGGTTTGATGCATCAACAAGTTGTGTAGATGTTTATCTAATAGCATACAGAAACTAACACATCATCATGACCTTGAGCATTAATGGCATCTTTGTCAGGAATATAAGCTCTCAATACAGCATTTGCAATAGAATTAAAAAACATATTCTGTATAGTGGCATGCTATATGACACTAGTTTGTGCAGGCAAGTGTAGTTTGCTACTTCACAGTTACGAACTTGGCCTTAATCCAAAGACTTCATCTACACAGTCAGTCTAAATTGTGGACTAGGTAAATTATTAGTGATAAGTGGAGGTATGATACAAGGATGAACATTTTTCCAGGCCAATAAAAATTATCTCATATAATGCACAATTGTGTTATTGTAAAGAAAAGAGGCCAAAACTTGCAGACCACTCCCTTTTTAAATCAGTGCCATTTTATGATCCGTAAATATTGAAAGCCTGTTTAGCTAGAAAGGTTTTAAGGACCACATTATTTTAAAAAGTAGTAAAATGAAAAGGTCCACAAATCCAATAACCACCCTGCATTTGAATCTGCAGAATTTGAGTCTGATAAAGTAAAATTTTAGGTGGAAAATTCCCAATTTTATTTCAAAACATAATGAACTTTGACATTCTTAATAGGGCAGGGATTTTTTTTTTGTAAATACAGCATTATTTACACTTATATTTGTAAATTAATTTCCCCACATTTATCTCCACACTGCTTCAGCTTGTCATATTTTATATATCGCTTAGGGTACTGGATACCCTTTGTTTATACTACATTTCATAATCCAGTACCTTGTATTATCATAGAGCATCATCAGGCTCCTTCGCTGGGAGTGGTATAATGCCCTTTGAAATTTATGGAAGACATGACAACACTTCGGTGTTATTTCTGTTTGAAACTGGTTTTTGCTAGCCTCTTTCATTCTGAACTTTCTAATGGCTAATGGTTGGATTAATTCCGTAGATAATGAAGTTGGTGTAAAGACTCCCGTTGATTTAACATATAGCATATATTTGGAGGAGTGGTGCCATAATAGGTATAATGTGATATCTTACATTAGTAAACATGCTAGTGGCTGCTCCTTAAGAGTCTCTGGCTCTCCATGTGTGGTGTGGCTTTCTTCGGAGAAACATGAACAGCTACTAGGGGAGGAGTTACAGCCTCTTTTCTGAACCTTTCTTCCCAGTCAGCTTGTGTATGTTGACTGGGGTAGCAAAGTCAGTGCTGTCTGTTTCTCTACTTTGTGTTGTTTTGATTGACAGGACACTGAAGAATAAGATGTCTTCTTGCCATGAGCTTTTTTGGCCTCCGCACGTGAGCATACTGTGGGTCCAATATGGCTCGATCCAGAGTTGTGGATTCTTTATGCCTCCAGATATTTTGGATTTTATTTCCCGGAATCTAAAAGCAACATGACCAATGGTAAAGGATTATAGGAATTGTAATCTGAGAGATTTGGAGGTAAAAATGTTCCCCAACTCTGTTACATTCCTTCTTTTAAAAAAAAAACTTTTCTAGATCAGAATAAATTTGCTCATCTTAATGTCCTGCCTTTCTTTCCCATCTTCATTTTGTCTGGACCAATACGTTCCATTTTGTTACCTGGGGAGATTTTCTAGGCATGTAATTTGATTTATAAGACAATGGGCGAGTTTATAAAAGTTACACATTTTGGTTCTGTTGACCCGCACTTTAAAACTTTTTTTTCCCCATTAAAGACCAGCGGCTTCTGAACAAGAAATTACAGCATTTTTTTCTTTGCTTGGCCCAGAGGTGGGTGAAACTGTTAAAGGGGGGACATCTGAGATTAAGTGTCAGTGTTGCTAAGCGTGGCATTCACAATACTGGCACTATAAAGAAAAAATAATTTATTGGACAGTTTTTCTACTGCCATTCAATTTGATGTGAGTGCCTTGAAAACTGATCTTCCTATTTGAGTCTCTTGAAACAAATGCAAACATTTTTGTGAAATGAAAAGACTTTTTAAAAAAAGGTAGAACAAGAAAAGTACGTTCTTTAGGGTGTAAAAAAAAAACCAAGAGCCACATTTACTTTAAAAAAACCTGGTTGAAGATAGTGGACATGAAAATGCCATAAGACCCAATCAAATGAAGATGTATATCCAGCACAACTTCGGACGTCCATTTGCTGAATTGTTCTCAGCCTCTTTCTTTTTTTTCAGGACAACGCTGCTTAGGAAATGGAATGGAAATGATTTACTGCTGAATTAAAACTCAAATGACACAAATTGCAAGTTGTTATCATTGAATGAAAAAAATTCAGGAACAACGGCTAATTTTTTTAAAAGTTAAATTTTGTGCACTCTGTCTTAAAATACGTTTACAGTATTGAATACATACAAGGGTAAAAAAAATTGTGTGTATGTGTGTTTGAGCAATCTCTCTCTCTCTCTCTTTCTCTCTCTCTTTTTTTTTCAAAGTTTGCTTAATAGGTTATTAAAATGCCACAATGGCCATGTGTATATTGTTTTCTTTTGGTGACGGGGTTTTAGTATATATTATATATATTAAAATTTCTTGATTACTGTAAAAGTGGACCAGTATTTGTAATAATGGAGAATGCCTGGGCATTTTACAAAACCAGAAAGAAAAAAAAAACTTTTCTCTTTTTTCCTTGGAAATGTTGCAGTAAAATTTAAATGGTGGGTCTATAAATTTGTTCTTGTCACTGTAACTGTAAAGTCTGAGTTTTAGTAAATTTTTTTCTGCCTTGGGTGTTGAATTTTTATTTCAAGAAAAATGTATAGAAACTTGTATTTGGGGATTAAAAGGTGACTGCTACACCATGTAGAAAAAGTATGTAGAAAAAATGCTTAATATTGTTATTGCTTTGCAGATTAAAAAAAAATCACATTTCTGACCTGTACTTATTTTTATCTCCTCCCCCCCACCCCCCTCTTCTGGAATGGATATTGATATTGGTTGATTCATATAATGTAGGCACTTGCTGTATTTTTACTGGAACTTGTAATTTTTTAACTGTACGCTTGTCCTTTTAAAGGGATTTAATGTACCTTTTTGTTAGTGAATTTGGAAATAAAAACAAAAACAAACAAACAGGCTGCCATAATATATTTTCTTTTAATTTGGCAGGATAAAATAGTGCAAAAAATTAATTTGTATGTCAAGACCTTATTGTATAGAACAAGGAAAAATAAAAGGGTTGTTTGACGACCTGTGGGTAAAAGAATCAAAACAATTATTATTTTTAATTATTATTTGGAGGGGCGCTGGGTGGGTGTCAGCTTTTGTTTTGTTTTCTGTTAACATTTTTGGTTGTGTGTATGTATATAAATACAGATATTAATTTCTTTTCTGTCAGAAATGGCCTACAAAAAAGTGCTGTTCCTACAGGGCAGTAATAACTTTGAAACTGCCTGGACCCCTTGTATCAAGGCCTTCCCAGGTATAGTTGAACGATAATGGATGGATGTTGCCCGTTGTTGTTAAAAGAAATTCAATTTTTGTGAAGATGTTTGACGTAACATTCCGCAGATCACCCTCTCCCCCTTTTAAACAGAGGTGGCTTTTCCTGGAAAAATATAAGTGCCCTCCCCAGTCCATAAGAAAACTGCAAATTTGTGCTTTAGATACTAAGTAATCCTGGCTTAGACAGCACTGACTCCTACTGTGGGGTGACAAGGCCTGTCTACCCCCTTACACCATCATTGGCACTGTTGATTGTCACTGTGTCAACCATTTGTTAGATCTGGACCTCAGCCAATCTGATCCTACAAGGTTTTCTGCTCCATATAGCACCCCTTTGCTTGAGTGCCGCCTGATCCAGAGCCCATACTGCATCAGTGCACCTCTCCATTGTTTTTCCATTTTCTTCTCAGCTTTCAGATAAAGCTGATGGAAAAGGGGAAAGACAAGAAAGAGTGATGTTCTATCGTTACAACTGTGAATTGGATAGGAGTAAAGAATTGATCCAGGCACATCCACATTTTCCCCCTTCTCCCTATCAGAAAGGGACCATGTACAGGTTTTGCCAGTCTGTGTTCTTTTGTCTGCTTTGCTGCTGTTGACTCTTAAATGTACATTCCATAAATTTCTGAACTATTTGAAGGACTGGGATGAAATTCTGTGCCTTTTTATGTTAACTAAACCCCACCCAACTGTTCCGTTTCATTTTTGGGTGGGGCAAGGCAGGGAAAAATTACTGAAGCCATGCTGAAATGCTAGTACTAATTATAAAGAAGGGGCTTGAAGCATTGTGAGGACTTATTAACAATGTGTGAAGAAATGACTGTGAAAAGCAGGAGTGGGCTAGGTCTAGAATGGGTCATCTCTGGGTAGAAGAGCTCTTTCTGTGCATCGCTGGCTTCTCATCCAGTAGAAGAATCCCACTGGTAAAAAAGGGGGTGGATCTTGGTTGATCCTATCTTTTCATGTGTTACCCTATGCCCCTAACATTGCCTTCTCAATAAGAACAATAATCTTATAACTGCAGAGCTGGAAGGGACCCTACGGATATGGTTAGAAGAACAGCAGGAGAGGTTATATTGAGGGGGTGGAATTGATGCCTCTCTTCCTTTCTAGCAACTGGCATGTTCTGAGTGGGATTCTACTTGGAAAATGCACTTGTCAAAAAGGGAATTGGATCCAGCCCATTCTGTCAAGTTATGCAGCCATCACAATGTCAGGGCTATATTTCATGCATTAGAATAGTCATTACTCATTCCACATCTTGAAAACTAAGGGTAAGGATATGTTTTTTAAAAAATACCACTGTGGAACAGTCCACCAGGATATGATTCTCTTGAACTCTAGAAATGGGCTTCTAGAAGGCATATTCGATGTGTTCTGCAAACTCTTCTTTCCATACATACGATGAAGAAAATCTAGGGAATTAAATGGATAGTTATTAAAAAAAATGAGCATAGTATTTAAATCTCTAGATATCTGCTTTACCCCGGTTCCACAATGAAGTGAATTCATTGTCACTGTGAACATCACACAGTCCTTTTCACTCTGGATGAACTAGGATCAGAACCACCACCAGCTGTCTTACCGTGTGACTTGAATTGTGGAGAGCCCAAGTCACTTTAAAGCACAAACACTGTGTTCAGTGAAACCACAATGACCTTGCTCCTTCCTTCCTATTTTTAGGAATTCTGCTTTAAAAAGCCATAAGCACAACATGGCAGACATATCATAATTATCTCTGCTGTCATAGGATGGGTACACTGCTGATATCAGCAAAATTAACTGTGTTAAATTAAAATTATTCAATATGACATAGTCCTGCTTCCAGTTAAAATGGATGCATGGAGCATTTCTGGTGAGATAGTATGATTTTTAATTTGTGGTAGGACGTGATATTAAAAACATAGTTGTGCACTTCCAGTATAGTTCAGCATTTCATCCTAGTCCTGATCAAGATTTTGTTTTTCATGGGCAAACTCATTTTATGGTGCTCTTTGTATTTTAGAACTGCAAAGCAAAGTAACTTTGATTTCCGTTGTTTGCATTTGTACCAGCAAGGCAAACTATTTTTATTACCTTTTTCTATTATTGTATGAGCTTTGGTTGTTTACTTGGAGGTTTTGTCTTTTACAACAAGTTTTGAACTATTTATTATTGCTTGGTATTTCTGCTCCATTTTAAAAAAATGGAAGCACTTTTTTTTATTATTATGGATAAAAATATTGAGATGGCGGGAAGTCATTTCAGTATCACTTAGTGAAATATTTATTGTTCCTTTTATTCTCTGTACAAGAATTTTGGCCTCTTCTCCCCTGACTGTCACATTGTTGAGTTCAGCATGTGTCTACCATTTCATTTGTACGCTCGTTCAAAACAACGTTTGTTCCAGTTTCAAGTTATTAAAAAAATAAATTGGACATTTGACTTGATCTCCAAATATTGTCTTTACTACTTATTCAGAATTGGTAAAGGTACAAAATAACATGGTTTGTGAGACTGACATTTGCAGTATAACGGGAGGCCTTGGGTATTTTGGGGTGGTGGGAGTCGGGGAGGGGATCTGGCTCAGCTTACCTGAGACACAGTATTTTAGCGGCACTGACTGAAGGGGGAAAATAGATATTAAAATGTGCAGCACTAGAGCATGGCTGACTGAAAGTATTATTTAAACTCAGTAGCACAGTTTCATGTCCATTTATCAGAATCTCCCTTCCTGTGCTCTCCCTTTGTAAGGGAAGATTATCCCCCATCCCAATTCTACAGGTAAATCTTACATTGACATTAGTACTATAATGGGACAAAATTCAGACCATCTTAGGGATCAGCACAAGCTACATGGAGACACAGCTCTGCTCTCCAACCCAAAAAACAAACAGATCAGTTGACACACTGAATGTGACCTCAGTTAGCACATAAGGTCACATTCTGTTCAGTAATAGAGTTGGCCCTAATGTCTTGTACTAGATCTGCAGTCCTCTCCGAGCATGCTCAGTTCTCATTGCTTAGCACCACTTTGCTACCTCATGTTCAGTTACTTTTGCTGTAGTTAGCACCACGGGAGCATCTCGAACACTAGCCTTTACCATTAAATGGGGACTACTTTTGAAATAAGAACAACACTAGGCTGAAAAAGCATCTTCAGGAAAGCAAAACAACAACTAGGCAAACAGTTTTGCAACTTGGGTCAGAGAGATGGAAGAACACAGTAGTAGTTATTTGCAAGTGTGGAATGCAGTTAAGGGGTGGAAGGAGGGCAGTAAGATTAGGAACACTCTGCCAGGGTGTGTTTCTATGTACACATAGACAGTAGCATGCAGACACATTTGTAGGCAGAGACATCAAAATATTTGCAAAAAAGATATTGAAAAAGCCCTATGGAGGATTGACGGTCTCTAGATAAAAAGGGTGAAAGACTGAGGTGGAAGAAAGAGGAACACCACATTTCAGATTGGGTGGTTGTTAGCCAAGAGTTCACACTATCTGGCACGATTAATCACATGCTAAGGCAGTTGCTTCTTAGCAAGGGTAAGGGTGGGATCAACTTTATTTGTAACTCCTCCTTTCCAGGAATTTTGCATTGTTGAGATCTAGCAATTGGTTCTTTCTGGCCTCTTGAACAATTGGAACATGGTTGCTGAAACATCATACATGCTCCAGATTCTACCACCCTTCAGTGCAACAAGCAGAACATTTTATCACATAATGTTGCCCGTTTTTAAATAAACTTAAGAGGTATATTAGGCTTTCTCTTGCTTTATGCATGCTTAAGTACTGATAGGATACAGAAAGACAGACAATAGAAATGGAAGTCAGTGTTTTATGTACAGTAGGATCTAAGCTGATTCACACACAACCATCAAGCATGGGTTGTGGTACATGCTTGAAGTTATATGTCACTGTACTGGCCTTAAACAGTTGGTTTCATAAATCTGCCACTCAACTCAGAATCAATCAGCACAAACTGTCTGAATGTGCATCTTGATCAGGTGGGGAGGGAGACTACAAATCCTCTTGGAGGGGTTAGTAAATCTTTTCAGAATCAGATTTCAGCGAATTTTCACATCTATAGGTTTTCAGTTATCCAACAATTCATGAACCAAATCTCTGCAGTCCCTTCAGTCATTTCGATGCAATAGGATGTGTTTGAAAATAGGAGACTAGTGAGAAGATTCACGTGATTTTTTTTTAAAAAAGGAAAGTGACTCTTGGAACTCATTTCCCTTTGTCCTCATATATTCACACAAAAATATTAGTTATACAATACCACCAGATATTGTATGACTACTTCCAAATAATCTTTTGTTATACTGTACATAGTAACTATTCTGAGATAAAACTATTTCTGGACCTTAAATCTTTTCCAATGGTATATTTGAGGAGGATATTCCTTTCCTTTGAAAGAACAGATCCACCAGGGCCCACCATGCAGCAGTTTTCCTCTACACTTCAGGTCTTGAGGTTGTATCATCCCCACCACAAAGAACTCTATATTTCATAAGGATAGAAGGAAAAACTGAAATCAGTCAATTTTAGTATGAGTTCACACGCATGTAATATGGTGTCATTCTAATCTAGAGGGTTCATAGGAATCACATATATAATGTATGTATACCCATAAAAATAATGTACATTGTGAACAGAATCCTGGGTCTAAATCTTAATGTTTTTCTCCTCTCTATCCCTTGCACCACCTGAAAATTTGTTCCAGGGTCCTTGTCAGGACCCCCCACCCCACCCCCATTTCACAGTTTTGATTTTAAAAAATGACCCTGTGTTGAATCCTCTCCCTGTTTCATAACATGCGCAAATGATCAGCATGGCAACTGTGTGAACTGCCTCTCAGTTAAAGGAGTACCTAAACTTTTGCTTAGCTATATGCACCACATTCTTTTTTGGTTGTTGTTCTTATTTGGAAGTTGCATATTCCTTCCTTAACAGAAGCCGATCTGTCTTTTTTTTTTTAAATCTCCTCCACCCTGTTCTCCCCCGCCCCAGATATTTAAGTTGCAGAACAACTTGGGAAATATATTTTGAATTCAAAGTTGCACTCAGACAGATTGTGGTAAGCCTGTGCCCAGTAAAAGGATGCAAAACAACAGCATTTTTACACTGCTATTAACCCAATCGTATGTATATTTGCAGACAATTTTCAACATGGAAAGAGAACAGGTGATTTTCTATGAATTATTCTACCAGCTCTGCTAAATAGTGACCTTTAGTTATCAAATGACACCATGTATTCTATTTTTCTGACAGATGACAGCCTATTCTGTTTCGGAAAAGATCCTACATGTTGAAGATGATAAAGAGCTTAGAGTTTATATTGTGCATCCCACAACTAAGGCAAGGTTGTTTCCTATTGCATGTACCCTGGATGTTAAATTTATGCAGATAGCGCTGAGCATATTTCCACGACATTGTAGAAGTATAAAAATATAGGATCATTAAAAAGATGGGCAACCCTATTCTGTCCTTGACTGCACCCTATCAACAAAAGCAGCAGTCAAGGAGTCTCCTCTTGCGAAGAAATTGTAGCCACTGAATCTGCATCTGAACGAATCTGTAAAGAAATATATCACCTTAGGATGCAGTCTAAAAGCAAGCATTTCTCATATGAGAAATGGCTGTAACATTCCCCTCACTGAAGTAACTATTGAGGATCTGGGTGATGGCGTGCAGCAAAAAGAATACAAGTTTGAGAAATAAAGGAGAAAACAGGGTTGGCTCATGATATTTTGATGCCTGAGTATGGTTTATTCCCAGTTCCCATACAGAAGATGGCTTGGTTGCCAGTTAAATACTGGCAATAGGAAAGTGTCTTCCATCACACCTGAGAACAGTGTTACCCTCTTTCTTCAAATGAGCTCAGCAAGCATCATGGCTTTCTTCCTCACACTGTCCTCAGACAGCCCTGTGAGGTAGTCAGGCAGAGATGACTGGACCAAGGTTACTCAGTGAGTTTTCAGACTCACTGGAGACTAGAACCTATATCTCCCAAATCCCAGCCCAATACTCTAACCACTACACCACACCAACTCAGTATCTATGTAGGACATGTGGCATAGACTGGTCTCTCCTCCAGCAGAGAAGAATAGTCCTTGGACACAGAAGCAATGGCAAAACAGTTGCATTTGCTGACCCGATTCCTGAGGAAGTTGTCTTAATTTGGCGATTGGTCAGGCCAGCTCTTATGTCCCCCTCCAGTTACTTCCCACAAGCTCTTCCTTAGTACTGTCTTCCATGATGTACACTTCTGTCTTCTGGGGAGAGATTCTGAGGAGAACTTCATTATAAGTTCTCTCCCCAGGAGCTTTTCTCCTTCATGGAGCTTTGATAACAGACGAGTACTGTTTTCATTGAAGAAAAGTACTCACTGGTTCCTCACTGCTTGCCTAAACACTTCTGCTTTTAAAGTCGGACTGGCTGCGTTTCTGGATAACAATTCGACAGGTCAACACTAGGGTTGGCAGGTCCCATTCACTACAAGCAGGTCCCTGTGAGGTCATGGAGCCGGGGGTCTTGTGATGAAACATGGAAGAAAAGCAAACATGACGCCTGTACAGTGGAGAACAGTGGTTCTTTTTCATGGCCTCTGTGATTCACACCAGTGGGTTCCTTCTGTGCCTGCGCTGATATCTCTGGAACATTCTAGAGCTTAAAACTCAACCATTAATCCACACCCTCTGCCCACTGCACATAGTCATTTACCAAAAAGAAATGAAAGATACAAAAGTGGGGCGGGGTCCCTCTTTTCTCTTCACACCGTGATTTCTCTGTGTGAGGTCCCCCCCCCCGAGAAATCTTGTAAGAAGTTGCAAATGTTTTGTGATTTCCCCCCCCCTTTCCCCCCCAGGATGAAATACCAATCTGCACAGAATCATTACAATTTCCGTGGAAATGGCATGTTTCCTGTGAAAGGACACAAGGACATTCAGCCCCACAGAATGTGGTTCTGCACAAGAACCAATAAAAGAGAAACAGCCAACCTCACTCCCCAAATAAGAAAAATGTACATACAGTATATCCATATCTCAAAAATATCTCAACTAGTTTTTGAAATTATGTTATGTTACTTTATTTTATTTGCATGAAGCTTGGGGAATTTCACTGGTGTGTGAGTGTGGGTGTGGGTGGAGTCTTCATCATGAGATAAAAGAAATCACCCCAAAAATGAGAAATTTTCTGAGAACACTGTGAAGTCATACTATTTCGTATATCCTGAAAGCAGTCACTAGTGAATTTCAACATGGGAGAGGAAATGCTTCATATCATATGGTTCTCTTACTAAGAGATGCCTTGGGAGAGCATGCAGCATACAGGCAGCCATGCATTCCTCCCCCCCCCCAATAATATATATATTTGGTATTTGGCATTGTCTCCTGAAAATCACAGAGCAAGGTAACAGCCCCCAGTGCTTACAGAACGTGCAGTTGTAAT